CACACACACTCTCTCTCTCTTCCTCTCTTTCTCTCACACACACACACACACACACACACACACACACACACACACACACACACGCGCGCGCGCCGCGCGCGCACACACACACACACTTCGTGCGCGTTCATGGTGCTCAACGCGTCTTGAGGGCCGTTTTCTTTTCTTCTGTGTAAAGCTTTTTCGTGTCGTAATAAAGTGCTGACGCAATAATAAAAAGAAAAACTGGAAAAAAGTTCTATTCACTTTCGTGGACTGCTGTGCTTGACTGTGCATCCTCTGCTCCTGAATTAGAAAACGATTGGAGGGAGAAAAGGGGAGAGGGTGAGCTTTGAATAATATAATCGATCATGGCTGCCCATGTTTGTCTGCAAACGTGTGCGCTATTCTTTGTGAATATTAGTGTTATCATTTGTTGTCTGTTTATGTAAAGATTCATCTTCCTCGTTGACATAATCCTTTAAGGCTTGAAACAAAAACGGAGAGGAGTTTAAGGTAATATCCTTGATCTTCTTAACCTTCTTTTATCGAGTATCTCTGCCTGTCCCACTCAGCCTGGTTGGCCCTTGTAAATAATCAGAACTGGGTCAATGGGAGCATTAAAAAACTCCTGAGAAATTACTTGCGACTTTATCAGCTAATCCAGAAACTGATGTTGTTTTTTGAATCTGCGCTTTCAGATAGTGCTTGTGGTTATAATGCTGTCTTGTTAATGTTATGCATTGTTTGTTGGTAGCATTGCCTTTTTCCCTCTACACCACAGGCGCGGGTTTGAAGAGTTACTAGCTCCATTCCAAAGTGACGCTTTTACCTGGCTCTCCCAAATAAGGCGCATTTATCAAACCAGCACAATAATGTGCTGATGTAGAGGAAGACGTTTTGCCGTAGGCATGGACTTTCAAGGAATACACTTAGAAAGTTTCAACAATGTTTTGTTCGTTTGGAATCAACAATGATTTATTCATTTTAAATATAAACAAATAGCCTCGTCAACATGATTTCCGCTATTCGTGGGGCAAAGGTTGGTGCGTTTTACAAGAATCGCGGAGACCCCGCTCTGTTTTCAATTTGGAGATAATGAGATTCCCTGTGCCCGGGCTACCAGACCATAATCGTGAGACTGCAGGTTAGGGGGTTCGAGCTTCAGCTTGGTTCATCGTTATGTCACTAGGAAAAGCATTTTACACAAATATACCACTTGGCTTGGTCGTTTCAGAGATGGACGTTGAACTAGGAGATAACATGACAGTGTTGATAGAGTCGTTAAACCAATACCATTTCACCATTTTTTCACTAGACTTTAGGGACTCCCTGAATAATATAATAACAATACAATATTTTAAGGTTCCCTCATTATGCACTAAGCTCAATTCTAACCGTAATGTTGGCAAAACTTCCTGGGTTTCTCTTTACTGAAACTAAACTCCCTTGCACCGTGAACATCATGAATATCTGAAATCGATAATTCATTAGACTCATGGCAATACTTCTTATGTACACCATTACTCGAGTCTCCTCATTCGCTATTGGCAGCATTAGTGCAGGCTTATGTAAAGAGAGGCCTTAGAATGCAGAAAACGGAAATGGGAAGGGGTAATTGGTAATCGGGTTCGTGGAAGCTGATATTGTACAGCTTGGTTCGCGTGAGTACGGTAGTATTGTGGCTAGGGTTATTTTCCCTTCAGTTTCCATCATTTTCACTATGCCAGTCGCTTCGAAGGATGAGCACTGAGAATGAGTAGAGATTAGGTTAACCTCTGTCCCCGCACTTAATTTCTCTCTTACGAGTTATGCGCCCCCTTTAGTGCGACCAATGTTATCTGGATTCCCTTATGTGAATCCCGTTATCCGGATCACGTTATCGGACCCCGTTATGTGGGCCTACTTATCAAGACCCTGTTACCACTAGCTTAATTGATCATTATGTTCATTTTTCCCTTTACGTGAGAAGGAATTCTGAATTGTTCTACTTGACTTGGTTCTGCATGGAGTTCTATTTCTTCTCAGCCCACTGACTTACGGTACCAAATGCCTCACTTTATCAGTCAGTTTGTGTAAAAGCTCATCTGCAACAGCAACAAGAACACTGAAAATTATTGCAACAACAACAACAACAGTAACATCAGCATCAACAACAACAATAACAACAAACAACAAACAACAACAATAACTACAGCAGCAGCAACAAGAACAACAACAACACCAACATAAATAACAACAACAGCAAAGACAACAGTAACGACAATAATAAAATCAGAAGGTCAGCAGAGCTTGCATGTCTTCTCCCATTATTTAAGTGGGGAAGATTCTCGTTCAGACCACATGATCACGCCTGCCAGTTCATCACAGGAAGTGACGTACACGGTCACAGAGATCATGGTTCTGACGTGCTCCTGGCGTGCTCTGACGACCTGGGACTTGTCAGACCCATGTGTATTCATGAGTGTTTTAACTCTCACGGGACCAGTTCCATCGCGGAGTTGGCTCGATTACAGGGGGAAAAACGTCTTCGGTTAAAACGAGAATCGACTATTTACTTATTTTTCCTTGTCTGTGACAGCAAGATGAGAAAGACTTTGTTGGTTCGTTATAGTGGGAAATTATTTACCTAATACACGGCATGATGTCAGCACGTCACTTGCTATCTTCTGTCTATTTCTCTTTGTCTGTCTGTCTGTCTGTCTGTCTGTCTGTCTGTCTGTCTGTCTGTCTGTCTGTCTCTCCGTCTGTCTTACTGTATGTATGTCTGTCTGTCTGCATGCCTGGCTGCCTGTCTGTTTCTCGCTCTTGTTTCACTCTCTCTCTCTCTCTTTCTTCCTCGCTTCCTTCCTCCTTCTTTCTCTCTCTCTCTCTCTCTCTTTCTCGCTCTCTCTCTCTCTCTCTCCCTCTCTCTCTCTCTCTCTTTCTGTCTCTGTCTCTCTCTTTCTATCTCTATCTCTCTCCCTCTCTCTCTCTCCCCCCC